GGGGTCTGTCGGAGGTTTCTTCCGTTAAAGGGAGTTTTTCCTCCCCACTGTCGCCAAGTGCTTGCTCAAGGGGGATTTGTTGGGTTTTCCCTATGTAATAATATTGATAACAGTAAGGTCTAGACCTTACTTTGTAAAGTGTCCTGAGATGACTTTTGTTGTGATTTGGCGCTATACAAATAAAATTTGATTTGATTTGATAACAATTTGATAACATCCACTCTACAAGGTAAACTTGATATCCGAGAAACTCCTGCACAATAAAACTCCTTGAATAGAAATGTTTACACTATTCTGTCCAGCTCATCTTTCTACATGGACTTGAAGAAAATATTCACACAGCAAAGAGTTGTTTTTTTTTTTACTTTTTAATGTAGAGTTGCTGCATTAGATGGCATTACATTGCACAGGGGCTCACACTGTTTGTATAAATGAATGCTAGAATTATTAATCAATATTAATAATCCATGGATACTAACTAATGTTAGTATCTCTATGATAATAATATTAGCCTATGTACAAACCCCAATTCCAATTAATTTGGGACATTGTGTAAATAAAAGCAGAATACAATGACTTGCAAATCCTGTTTGACCCATATTTAATTCAATACACCACAAAGACAAAGATATTTAATGTTTAAACTGATAAACTTTATTGTTTTTTGCAAATATTCACTCATTTTGAATTTGATGCCTGCAACACGTTCCAAAAGAGCTGGGACAGGGGTGTTTTTACCACTGTGTTACATCACCTTTCCTTTTAACAACACTTAAGCCATTGGGAACTGAGGACACTAATTGTTGAAGCTTTGTAGGTGGAATTGTTTCCCATTCTTGCTTGATGTACAACTTCAGTTGCTCAACAGTCCGGGGTCTGCGTTGTCGTATTTTGCACTTCATAATGCTCCACACATTTTCAATGGGAGACAGGTCTGGACTGCGGGCAGGCCAGTCTAGTACCCGCACTCTTTTACTACGAAGCCACGCTGTTGTAACACGTGCAGAATGTGGCTTGGCATTGTCTTGCTGAAATCAGCAAGGACATCCCTGAAAAAGACGTCGCTTGGATGGCAGCATATTTTGCTCCAAAACCTGTATGTACTTTTAAGCATTAATGGTGCCTTCACAGATGTGCAAGTTACCCATGTCATGGGCACTAACATACCCCCATACCCATGATATTATGGACTGTAGATGATGAAATACCTAAACTCCTGGCAACTGTACTTTGAGAAACGTTGTTTTAAACTGTTAAGACTATTTGCCCACACAGTTGTTCACAAAGAGGTGAACAGCGCCCCATCCTTGCTTGTGAATGACTGAGCCTTATGGGATGCTCCTTTTATACCCAATCATGATGCTCACATGTTTCCAATAAACTTGTTCCAAACAGGTGTTTTTTGAGCATTCCTCAACTTTCCCAGCTTTTTGTTTTCCCTGTCCCAGCTCTTTTGGAACATGTTACAGGCATCAAATTCAAAATGAGTAAATATTTGCAAAAAACAATAAAGTTTATCAGTTTGAACATTAAATATCTTTGTGGTGTATTCAATTAAATATGAGTCAAAAAAGGATTTGCAAGTCAGTGTATTCTGTTTTTATTTATGTTTTACACAATGTCCGAACTTCATTGGAACTGGGGTTTGTATTATGATCTAGCTTTTCACTGGAACTACTGATCAATAAGTAGCAACTCTTTTGCTGCACCATTTATATGCATAATGTTTAGAGTAGAGGCATGTGTAAACAGTCATACTCTATTATAGAGGAAACCTATTGTATATCTCCTTAAAGCAAAATATACTAGAATAACAGTCAAAATATGTTAGCACTGTGTATTATAGCTACTGTGATACCACATCTTAAAATATTGAACTCTTACTCATTATGGCAGATGTCACTGCTTAAACTGTGTAAAGAGAACGTGTTGGTACTTGTGTTTTCTCTATGACTTTAAGAGCAATGGCTTTCACAGCAGTCACAGCTTCTTTGCAAGCCTTGGAAATGTGAGATGGTGGCAGGAGAAAGCCGTACTCCCCACGGTCCTGGAGCTCAAATGTGAAGGAATATTTGATGCCAAGGTTGTACACCCAGTCATCAGAACCACCAGGAGCCAGGTCTGGAGAACTGACTATGTTAGACATGTGCTTTGAGAGTAAATGAATCAGTCAAGCTTGACAAATGAGTCCTACTTACATATTGTTTTTGCTCCAGCACCATATTTGTAGTTGTTCCCATAATGTCGCTTGATGTTCTGTGCAGCTTCTTGGGCCATTTCAAGCTTGTATAAAGATTTTGAAAGAACAATTGTTCATTATCTCCATTAAGAATGAACAAGGGAACATGTCAACTATAACTCTAAGACACATCCACTTTTCCCAAAACTTATATTAGTGAATAATAAACTGACTGATTGACTTGTCCAAACCACTCACCAGGTCCTGGTGGTTCTCTACTTCATCTAAGGTGCAGGAGTATGGGAAGAGCAGCATCTGAGAATAGGAATGAATGGTGAGGTAGAGCTGAACCGAATCCTTGTGACTGCGCAAGAAGTCAGCAACAGCCTGCGACTCTGGTTCCGACTCAGGGAAAGCACCACAGTAGATTTGAGAGCAGGGCTCGTGAGAGGCTCCCATCGCTAGAAAGAACAGTAACACTTTTCCTTATACTAGATAAGACTCATACAAATATAATCAGGTGATAAGCAGGACTATTTGGGTTAAATGTGTTCATCAGCAAGGAATTAAAAGGTGAGAAAAATGCAAGTGAATTGGGGTAGTTTTACATTTAAACTAAAGATACAACAGAGATATGAATTGAATTCTTTTCCTGAATAAAATAATAAAACAATAGTCATTGTGGCTCCATAGCTGACTGTTCATAAAGGTTTCATTTTAGGTCTGATTTCAATGCTTTAATTTGGGAAACAATTGTGATGCGAGAGAAAAACTTACTGCACCAATTGGCATCAAAGTTTCTATTGAGGTCGACCCCGATGCAGCTGCTGCCCTTACTGATGGAGCGGTTCTTCCTCCACATCCTGTCCTGAGAGAAAAACAAAAGCAGTGTGAAATCACTACTCCGGCTGAAATGACCTCCTTTATAACTTCTCTGACACAAAATAACACTTCTCTTTCATGTTCTCACTGTTGTCCAGGTGTACTTGTATCCATCAGGGTTCATAACAGGCAGGACATAAACATCCATGTTGTCCAGTATGTTAGTAATATCTTTGTTTCGCCCGTAAAATGACAAAGACTGTGGGAGAAAGGACACTGATTTTAGTGCAAGGCCACAACAAAATTTACCTTCATGAGCTTTCCATCCTTCCGTACTGTAGACATTAGACTAAGCATACTTACATGTTGTACAAACCATAAGCAGAAAGCAGGCGCAATCCACTCTCGGGCATGTATCCCACAGTCAATCCACAGTGCCGTTTTATTTGGTCTGTTATTTAGAGTCAACTGAGAAAGGCTGTGGTGAGTATCAGGTTTAATATAAAAAAAATCATCTCATTTCTCTCACAAGTCAGCTGTTGCACAGAAAAACAAAAGCCTCGGAACACAACTTGAAATATAAATGCTCATTAATTTGCTGTGAATGTTTGCAAGAGGTTCATATTTATCATCATTACAGTTTATTAGGTGATGGGTGTCTGTACCTTCAGAGCATATAATGGTCTCTTCTCATATGATGAGCCAATGAGGATGACTTTGACTGTGCTTGGGTTGTTCTGTGCGGTCCAGTTTATCCAGTAATAGATCTACAGTAGAAGTGGATGTAAACTGTAATGTATCTATTCAATTGCAATCCAATACATCAGTTACAGTGTCAGTAAAGGTTCTGATAGTTCAAGATGAAAAGCATACTTCCTCCAGACTGTGATATCGCTGGTAATACGATGAGCTGCTTCGTGGGTCTGTGGAAACGTTCCTTGTCTGCATTTCAATCAGCTCTTTTGTATTGTCCAGTAAAATTCTTAATAATCAGAAAAACAAACAGCAAAACCTCTGAACAAGCTGCACATTTGCCAATAAATATATAATTCCAGGTGAACTGAACATGCATTATTTTCAGATAAGCAACATACACATATGCTATGCTGTGTTTTTGTAGCAGATCCTTGACAGTCTTTGAGCTGTTTGCAGGAACAAAAAGGTGGACATGACTTTCCTCTCTGATGTACTGAGGTGAATCAGGCTGCCATAAGACTGTCTGAGAGAAAATGTGTAATATAATGATTCACAGAGGAAAAAATAAAAGGGCAAAGACTGTAACTTCTAAAGAAATATCTAATTTCTACCTCATGTTGAGTGGATATATTCTTCAAAACATCAACCTGCTCCTGGGTTTTTGAGGTGATTGATAGAACCTGGTCACTGAAAAGAAAACAAGGCAACAGTAAAGTACACGAATGATGCAGACCCTCATTGGCCAGTCATATAAATCATGTATATGTCAAAATATTTTCTGCTGTGTTATTAGAAATGCCTGAATACAGTGGTGATGGCTACAATTTTCCCAGTCTTTGTTACAATACTGTCACTGCATTGACTTGTGAGTTTGCATGCGTGTTACTACATTACCATAATACACATTGTATCCACATGAATGTGTGTTGTGTAATCCGTTTCTCCATGGTTAAACCCTCTTTATGAGAGAGTGAATGCTTTTAATCCCCTTGCAAACTTCACTAAACCAACTTACTGTGTTTCTGTGCTGTGTCCTGTGTCCAAATTCATTAAAACAAACCAAATCAAAAGAGTCTTCATGATGTCAGGATCTAGACTGGAAATAACAGATGTTTGTTCAAACTATGGGGGTAGGGAGACATTATTGATCGACACATTGTTTATTTAGAAGTTAAACTTTGCTTTCTTGAAAGAACGGGGGTACAGATCAGCCAACAGGGAGCAGGTTAATGTTTTCCTGATGATATGTTTTCAACGATTTCAGTTAAACTATTTGTATAACTGACAAAAGTTTACATTAATTTAAAATTTACAATGACTTCTCATCGGTTCAAGCCAGAAAAACAGTGCTCTTATACCTCCTCACCAGTAGGAGGCGCCAGAAAAATGCAACAGTAGGAACATGCCGGATAGAGGCTACGTTTTTATTGGCAAGATGTCGGGCCACGATCAGCTGGTCCACTGTTTGTGTGAATTGACAAGGTAACCTGTAATACTTTTCCAAACAAGTGTTTTAATAAATGTCTAAAACGTTGATTGTTAATTCTGAAGACGCAGCTAGCTTCTTTGATTTCATTGTATATCAGCTCCTGCTTTGGTGAATTAGTAAACAGTTACCTGTAAAGTACTGACGATATTACGTTCTTTAGTTAACAATAAGATAATTCGTTGTTATAATAACGTTCCTGTGAAAACCAAACTGCAAACACTGAGCTAAAGCGAGGTTTCTTTCTTTTTCCTGCTTAAGTAACTTGTAATAACCGCATACACTTAGTTATGACTTCATTCATGCATAATGTACGCATCGTAACGTTAGTGTGTGTTACTCTTCTGTGTAATTACAGCAACCTTGCTGTGGTGGTGTTTGCATTTAAACTTTAATTCTCACTCTGGACAAGCCTTCCACAAAGTCTCCAAGAAGTTATGTCAGTACACGCTTAAAATGCCTCTTACAACCCATTGTATCATACATACTGGGTTTCAGGTTGCTGTGGCAGTTGCTGCTGCCCCTGGTGTTTCTGTGTGTGCTGCTGATCGCTGTCCTGGTCCTGCTGGTGCTGGCAGTGCGTTTCTGGCTGCAGAGCCACAGGAATGCTCGGAGGGCAAGAGATGGCCGTCTCACAGTGGCCTTCTTCCACCCCTACTGCAATGCTGGTGGTGGGGGAGAGAGGGTGCTCTGGTGTGCTATCAGAGCGCTACAGAACAGGTAAGGCAGGACAGTCTAAACGCTGTGTGGCCCAGGCATTACCTAGGAGCATCAAAATACCTGCTTATGTAAAATGCTACTTAAACTTAATTGCACAGGTACGCAGACATCAACTTTGTGGTGTACACGGGGGATGTGGGTGTGACGGGCCAGCAGATTCTGGATGGAGCTCGACGTCGTTTCAACATCATGCTCCCCCGACCAGTTCAGTTTGTGTATCTGAGGCACCGGCCGCTTGTGGAGCCCGGCCTGTTTCCTCACTTCACCCTGCTGGGACAGAGTGTGGGCTCCATCTTCCTGGGATGGGAGGCACTAATGGAGTTTGTGCCAGACCTTTATATAGACTCCATGGGCTATGCCTTCACTCTGCCCCTGTTCCGCTATCTGGGAGGCTGCAGCGTGGGGAGTTATGTTCACTACCCCACCATCAGCACTGACATGATGTCTGTCGTGAGAGAGAGGAACCCCAGGTAATAAGTGTGTGTCTTTAGCAACACACATTGTGTCACGGTGACTGTGTGGTAAACACATCATACAGCATCTTTTTTTGAAAAAGTTGTGTGATGTTTTCTTTTATAAGTCACACCAATACATATAGTACTATTATAAGCTTTTCTCCAAATACTATGCTAAATTTCGTACTTATATAATTTCCTACAGTTATACATTCAAAGGTAAATAAAAATGACCTTTACTGTCCTCTAGTGGTAATCAGTAACTGCAGCAGCTGTCCGCCTCCTACTCTAATTTTAGGTGAAGTTCACTGACCAGTGGTTTTTAACTGCAGCCTGATGCTTGCTAATGCCTCATATAACACAAACTGTTAATGTCTCAGGTTCAACAACCCAGACTTCATCTCCAACAGCCTGTTCCTGAGTGCCTTCAAGGTGGTCTACTACTGCATGTTCGCCCTGCTCTATGGCATGGTTGGCTCCTGCAGCGACCTTATCATGGTCAACTCATCCTGGACCCTCAATCATATCCTGTCACTGTGGCACGCTCCCAACCGCACCAGTGTGGTCTACCCACCCTGTGACGTCAGCGCCTTCTTAGATATCCCACTAGAAGAGGATGGGGACAGGAAGTGCCACTCAATCATTTCCATTGGGCAGTTCAGGCCTGAGAAGGACCATCGGCTGCAGATCAGAGCTTTCAAGAAGGTGTTAGACAGGAGGAGGGATAGTGCGGGTGGCAGAGAGGCACTGAAGCTGGTTTTGATTGGTGGATGCAGGAATAAGGAGGATGAGGATAGGGTGCTCATGTTGAGGGGGTTATGCCAGGAGCTAGGTGTAGCTGACCGAGTGGAGTTTAAACTAAATATATCCTTTGAGGAGCTGAAGCGAGAGATGGCAGAAGCTACCATTGGACTCCACACCATGTCTAACGAACACTTTGGAATAGGTAATTTATCTAACTGAGGTTATGCTTAGACTTTCTTATTAAGGTTTTGTCTTTTTTGCATCTTCAATCTTCTTGTTTCTCTCTAGGCATTGTGGAGTGTATGGCAGCAGGGAAAATCATTCTGGCTCACCAGTCTGGAGGCCCAAAGCTGGACATTGTGGTACCTTTTGAAGGGGGCCAGACAGGCTTCCTGGCTGATGACGAGGATAGTTATACTGAGATGATAGAGAGGATCCTGGCTCTGCCCTCCACCAGCCGGCTGCAGATCAGACGTAATGCCCGTCAATCAGTGGCTCGCTTCTCAGACCAGGAGTTTGAAGCCTGCTTCCTCGCCGCTATGGAGCCTCTGATGGGAACACTTGAGCAATGAAAACTTCTTTATGTGCACTTGTACAGTTAAGATGATGTTGGACACTGCGGGTACTTTGATGGACATGGGTTGCATTTACACTGCAGGACTGGTGACACAATCTGATCACTCACATGCTCACACGGGGTTGCTGAAGGTTGAATAATCTGAGATTGCCAACATAGTTGTTGGTTCACCAATCAAAGCATATTGTACTTGGATTTGTCCTAAAAACAAACAAAGAGGCAGTATTCATCATTTTTAGATAAATGGCCCTATATCAGATCAAAGTCAGTACAAATCAGGTACAGATGGGATCTGTGGTGTTTTTCTGTTCGATTTGTAAATAGTGGATTATACTGAGAGAAATGTTTTACAGTAGTCCTATATGTGTTTAAAAGATGTATAATAAAAATGGGGACCCTGATGAAACAATATGTCTAATAGTGTAAGCACATTTAGGATTATAAAGAAAAATATATTTGTTTACAAGAAATAGATTTCTCTACATGCCCAAAGTGTGAAGTTTTTGTGATAGATGATGAATGCAGAACAATATTTAAAGGGACTGTTGCATTTATGTAACAGTTTAAACAAAGACAATGTCACTGTGCCTGTAAATAAACTAATCTGGATCAGAGGAAAACCAGTCAATAACTTTTCTTTATCTGTTTGGTTTGATTTGGCACAGTATATCATTGTTTGTCATTACCTCTGACTTTTAAACAGGATTATTTCCATAGGTGGTAGAGGGGGTTCACCTTTAGAGTTGATATTAATCATGAATTTCCTTATTAACATTTGGATTGTTTGATCTGACTGGTAACTTCCAGGTTGTGTTTTTTCTGTAATGCTGAGAAAGCTGTTGAGGGCTGACGTCTTGAAGCAAAACTACATCTCTTAACTGCTTCTGCACAGAAGAAATTGAATGGCTTTTCACCATAGTGATATATTACCAAATTTTTATGAACCCGTTTTTATAAATGACTGCTGTGTGAAAACATGGCTTCAAATCTTAACATTAAATCAGAGATCTTTAAGTTCACTCAAAAACTTGGCTAGTCTGCATCATTGGGACTGTGTGTGGATGGAGTTTGATCAGATGTGATTCTGATTCAAATGTCACTAATTCCTGATTGATACACAAAAGTAATCATCAATCTGTCCTGTGAAGTAACCAAAACTGTTGCAACTTTGGCTAGAAAATTGTGTGTTTAAATAGAAACTGAGTAGTTACAGTGCCTTGCGAAAGTATTCGGCCCCCTTGAACTTTGCGACCTTTTGCCACATTTCAGGCTTCAAACATAAAGATATAAAACTGTAATTTTTTGTGAAGAATCAACAACAAGTGGGACACAACCATGAAGTGGAACGAAATTTATTGGATATGTCAAACTTTTTTAACAAATAAAAAAACTGAAAAATTGGGCGTGCAAAATTATTCAGCCCCCTTAAGTTAATACTTTGTAGCGCCACCTTTTGCTGCGATTACAGCTGTAAGTCGCTTGGGGTATGTCTCTAACAGTTTTGCACATCAAGAGACTGAAATTTTTGCCCATTCCGCCTTGCAAAACAGCTCGAGCTCAGTGAGATTGGATGGAGAGCGTTTGTGAACAGCAGTTTTCAGTTCTTTCCACAGATTCTCGATTGGATTCAGGTCTGGACTTTGACTTGGCCATTCTAACACCTGGATATGTTTATTTGTGAACCATTCCATTGTAGATTTTGCTTTATGTTTTGGATCAGTGTCTTGTTGGAAGACAAATCTCCGTCCCAGTCTCAGGTCTTTTGCAGACTCCATCAGGTTTCCTTCCAGAATGGTCCTGCATTTGGCTCCATCCATCTTCCCATCAATTTTAACCATCTTCCCGGTCCCTGCTGAAGAAAAGCAGGCCCAAACCATGATGCTGCCACCACCATGTTTGACAGTGGGGATGGTGTGTTCAGGGTGATGAGCTGTGTTGCTTTTACGCCAAACATAACGTTTTGCATTGTTGCCAAAAAGTTCGATTTTGGTTTCATCTGACCAGAGCACCTTCTTCCACATGTTTGGTGTGTCTCCCAGGTGGCTTGTGGCAAACTTTAAACGACACTTTTTATGGATATCTTTAAGAAATGGCTTTCTTCTTGCCACTCTTCCATAAAGGCCAGATTTGTGCAGTATACGACTGATTGTTGTCCTATGGACAGAGTCTCCCACCTCAGCTGTAGATCTCTGCAGTTCATCCAGAGTGATCATGGGCCTCTTGGCTGCATCTCTGATCAGTCTTCTCCTTGTATGAGCTGAAAGTTTAGAGGGACGGCCAGGTCTTGGTAGATTTGCAGTGGTCTGATACTCCTTCCATTTCAATATTATCACTTGCACAGTGCTCCTTGGGATGTTTAAAGCTTGGGAAATCTTTTTGTATCCAAATCCGGCTTTAAACTTCTCCACAACAGTATCTCGGACCTGCCTGGTGTGTTCCTTGTTCTTCATGATGCTCTCTGCGCTTTAAACGGACCTCTGAGACTATCACAGTGCAGGTGCATTTATACGGAGACTTGATTACACACAGGTGGATTCTATTTATCATCATTAGTCATTTAGGTCAACATTGGATCATTCAGAGATCCTCACTGAACTTCTGGAGAGAGTTTGCTGCACTGAAAGTAAAGGGGCTGAATAATTTTGCACGCCCAATTATTCAGTTTTTTATTTGTTAAAAAAGTTTGAAATATCCAATAAATTTCGTTCCACTTCATGATTGTGTCCCACTTGTTGTTGATTCTTCACAAAAAATTACAGTTTTATATCTTTATGTTTGAAGCCTGAAATGTGGCAAAAGGTCGCAAAGTTCAAGGGGGCCGAATACTTTCGCAAGGCACTGTATAAAGCACTTGAACACAGCCGAGGCCAACAAAGTGCTTAACATAAGATACAATTCAAAACATCTAAAAACGTGACAACTACAATATTAAAATACCAATAAAATAACATAAAAGAACCAACATAGCGCAAGGCACTGTATTTAGAAGAATCTGATTGAGAAGATGTGTTTTCAGGGCTTTTAAATTTGAAATCGGGGAGGTCTGAGCATATTGAACAGAGGATCAGAATCATAGTCCTGGTTTAATTTGGCACAGCATCCTGGGATCAATAGTGCTGAGCAAAGGAAGTACAATAAACAAAAAGAGGGGTTATGGAGGTTTAGAGGCGGAGCAAAGGAATGTTAGGTCCACAGCTGAACATATTTAGAGGGAGTTAAATGAGATTGTACTCTTGTTTGATATTGGTCAAAATGAAGGTGCATGTGCTTCTCTTGGCCCTGCTGCAGTGTCTGGGATGCTCTGGTGGGTACCTTTTTTTTCCTCTGATCATTTCATATGGAAATTCAGCCACTGTTACCGTTTTTCACATCCACGTGCTTTGACGCTGCAGGCATCCCACTGTACAACTTGGAGCTGGAGTCTATGGCAGACAGGGGTTTTGGAGCTTCTCTGGCAGAGGTCAATTCTCTGTATGCTGTCAACCATCTTTACCGGGTGACTCAAGGCTCCATCTCAAGGGTGAGACAGACTGCACGTATTATTCTTTAACATACTGTATATTCCCTTCTCAAAGTATTTAAACTTCAAATGGTAGTAGAAGGGATTATGACGAATATCACACATCTACCAGGTTATTCCTGTGGGCCTGAACACTACTGACCTGCTGATGATATTTCGCATTAAGGAGACAGAGTGTGCGAAGGCTTCCAGAAGCGACCCGCAAACATGTTCCTTCAGACCTGGCTTCTTTGTGGTGAGGTTTTTCATGTCAACCAGTAGACACTTTGAGGGCTCACAAGCAGAAAACGTTGCAAACCACTGGACTAAAACATATATGAAGACCTGTATAGTCCTTTAATGCTCTGCCCTAAACTACAAACTATCACTAAAATGACTACAAACACTGGCATGGCATGTTGGATGGGCTGGGAGATCTGTTGACAGACTGCTGTATCCCACTGACATGAATTTCTTGTGGGACTGACCACTAGCTTTAACAAATGCAGAATATTAGAGCGCCATTGTCTTCTTGCCCTTTCTTCACTGCAGCCCTCCTTCTCCTGCTCCAGTCGGGTGAGGATGTCCACCACGTCGGCCCAGGTGGTCTCTCTCAGGTGCAGCCATGGCAGCAGCAGCTCCAGCTCCAGCTCAGAGTCCAGTGAGGAGGTGAGGACACAGAGATGGGGCGAAGGGGAAGAAACTCATTTTCATTCTCATTTTTCTATATGTGACTTTCAGCTTTTAGCTGGTGTCAAAAAAGGGAAAAATACCTTAATTTATGCAGTTAGTTTTCCAGTAAACATCAAATTGAATTAGTGCATCTACAGCAAACTTGACAAAAGACTCCATATATAGTAAATAAAGGTAAAAACTAATTTACAAACCATTTAAACAACAAACAAGGGATGTCCTGAACTGTATAGTACATGAATAATTTCGAGGCTTCGATTCCACAGATATTCTCAAGAGGGAGACACCAGGTCAACAACCCAAGCAGGGGTAAGCATGCTTCAACCAGTACCAGTACAGTCCACAGTGTTTACCTGACCCTCAGTATGTCAATATCCATTCACCAATGTAATTCGGTGCACATGTCTGACCTCAGACTCAGCTCCTTTTGCAACTCCTCCACCTCCAACTGTCCTGCCTGTTCGCCCCCTCCACAGCCAGCCTGTGAACGTCAGGCCCAGAGGAGACGTGTTCAGCAACCTCCTTGAGTGAGAATTCAGCTCACTCTGGAAACATTTCGGTGCTAATCAGAAAACAAACTTGAATTAAAAGGAAATTGCACATTGTGGATTTTGTCCCTTTTTATTCTTATTTTTTCCTATTTGTTTACATTTACAAGCCAGTGACTCATCAGTGAACCACATAAGAAAAACACATGCTCATGACGCTGAAGTGTTGGCTTCAATAAATCCCCATAAATAAACCTAGGGGCTATAAAAGGGTCCAAAATTCTTAGTATAACCACTAGAGGGAGTGCGATGTCCACTGAACTAATAAATGCTGTTCCCATTTTAACTGTACTGTAACAATCATGATGCTTAAATGCATTACATTAATTACAGTGGGTACAGAAAGTATTCAGGCCCCCTTAAATTTTTTCACTCTTTGTTATATTGCTGCCATATGCTAAAATCATTTAAGTTCTTTTTTTCCTCATTAATGTACACACAGCACCCCATATTGACAGAAAAACACTGAATGTTTGACATTTTTGCAGATTTATTAAAAAAGAAAAACTGAAATATCACATGGTCATAAGTATTCAGACCCTTTGCTGTGACACTCATATGATCTGGCCAAGGTTACAAAAACATTTCTGCTGCACTTAAGGTTCCTAAGAGCACAGTGGCCTCCATAATCCTTAAATGGAAGATGTTTGGGACGCTCAGAACCCTTCCTAGAGCTGGCCGTCTGGCCAAACTGAGCTATCGGGGGAGAAGAGCCTTGGTGAGAGAGGTACAGAAGAACCCAAAGATGACTGTGGCTGAGCTCCAGAGATGCAGTCGGGAGATGGGAGAAAGTTGTAGAAAGTCAACCATCACTGCAGCCCTCCACCAGTCGGGGCTTTATGGCAGAGTGGCCCGACGGAAGCCTCTCCTCAGTGCAAGACACATGAAAGCCTGCATGGAGTTTGCTAAAAAACACCTGAAGGACTCCAAGATGGTGAGAAATAAGATTCTTTGGTCTGATGAGACCAAGATAGAACTTTTTGGCCTTAATTCTAAGCGGTATGTGTGGAGAAAACCAGGCACTGCTCATCACCTGTCCAATACGGTCCCAACAGTGAAGCATGGTGGTGGCAGCATACTGCTATGGGGGTGTTTTTCAGCTGCAGGGACAGGACGGCTGGTTGCAATCGAGGGAAGGATGAATGCGGCCAAGTACTGGGATATCCTGGACGAAAACCTTCTCCAGAGTGCTCGGGACCTCAGACTGGGCCGAAGGTTCACCTTCCAACATGACGATGACCCTAAGCACACAGCTAAAATAACGAAGGAGTGGCTTCACAACAACTCCGTGACTGTTCTTGAATGGCCCAGCCAGAGCCCTGACTTAAACCCAATTTAGCATCTCTGGAGAGACCTGAAAATGGCTGTCCACCAACGTTTACCATCCAACCTGACAGAACTGGAGAGGATCTGCAAGGAGGAATGGCAGAGGATCCCCAAATGCAGGTGTGAAAAACTTGTTGCATCATTCCCAAAAAGACTCATGGCTGTATTAGCTCAAAAGGGTGCTTCTACTAAATACTGAGCAAAGGGTCTGAATACTTATGACCATGTGATATTTCAGTTTTTCTTTTTTAACAAATCTGCAAAAAAGTAAAAAAAATATTGTGTTTTTCTGTCAATATGGGGTGCTGTGTGTACATTGAGGGAAAAAATGAACTTAAATGATTTTAGCATATGGCTGCAATATAACAAAGAGTGAAAATTTTAAGGGGGTCTCTGAATACTTTCCATACCCACTGTAAATATAGGCTAGATCTTCCCAGCTCCACCTTATCCACATTATTTCAAAGAGCACTCAAACAGACTGAGGTCTGGGTTTGAACATTTATATTGTGATTTTCAATTTATATGCAAGAGGACACATTTACTCTTTCTGCAACCATTTCATTTTGCCCCACATGTTCACATCAGCACATCAATAACTTACAGTACTGTAAGGACCATGATATTCAGTTGTAAGAAATGATACACTCTCTGCAAGTGGCACCACTGTGGCTGAGCAGGACTAAAGAAACTGGTCTTGCATGAACTCCAGCACCACTGAGGCTGTGGATATAAAGGTCTCCTCTGAACCCTTATCATGTAAACTGTTTGCACAGTACACATTTCCAGACTAAGTCCAACTTAAACTTAGTTTAAATGCTGTGAAAGATGAATATTGTGCCATCCTGGCTCAAGAGGACATGTTGAGAATGAGTTCCTTGAAGAACAGCACTAGCAGCCTAGTAGAAAAGGGCATTTCTGCTAGAAATTAAAACCCTTCACGGTCCACTCTGTAGACACAAAATCAGGAGTTAACCTTAGTCCCTGTGCATTAAGGGCAGAAGCAGTAATGGCACCATTAAGAAAAGACACAAACTTGAAAGCAATATGCCAGTAAGATTTCTGTTATTGACTATATGATTTAATGCTCTGTACATTAACCAGACAGATGTATGTTTTCCAACAGGGTCGCCTTATGTGGACAAGAGGATTTCACATGGCTGAATCCAGTCTGTAATGTCTACTTCATGGATCACGATACCACGAGACTTAAAAAGGCAGCAAGTACCAGCAATAAAGGAGCAGCAGCTGCAACTGTACAGACAGAAACTGAAGGATAAGGTCCAAAATCAAGCACAGGGAACAGGGCACAGTTCATAAAAACCACAACAGTCCTCCCTCCATTTACATAAGCCCATTACAAGTTTCCATTAAATAATAATAATAAAAAAAGCATAGTTTTTTCCAGTTGCACAGGCTAAGCTCAGCCAAGACTTTGGAAGAAATCTCATTTCAGCCTTGACCTCTGTGCAAGACTTTGGGAATAAGGCTTCCTTCTGATTTGCATTTGCCAAGTGGTGAAACAGTCTAGTCTGTCTGAGACAACAGATTTGAAAGTTTTAGCTGTTTGTCAGTGTTTCTGTACTACTTCATAAGTGTAATTCAGGTTTTCAAATACACCTTCCTTATACATTCCTCTGTAACCCTAAAGGTTGGTTCCTCTAGACTTTGTTGACCAGCTACTAAAAGACAGATCTGTAAAAAATAAAATAAAAAAAATTTATCAATCATTAAAGAAAGGCAAACTGCTCCACAAAGGCCATCCATAATGGTTGACTACACTGCCATATAATACATGCATGCACACAATGCATGTATGCGCTTCAGCTTCAGTTTCAGTGTCTCTCTCTCTCTCTCTCTCTCTCTCTCTCTCTCTCTCTCTCACAGACATGCACACATACCAGAACAGCTCTGTGTTTTACAGCTTGTTGTTACATGAGGTCCATGCAGTACCAATGCAGGAAGATCCTGATGCATTTTTGCCTCTTGTTTTCATCTCCATACGTGGCACAAACTTATGGCAAAAAAGCAGATACATGGTTTGGCTCAGACCTGGATCCGGAAACATTTGCACATTTTTTATTACTGTTTAGTTAAATCTGCTCGGTGTACCAGATGGGTGGGGTTTACTATACAGGACAATGCAATATATTCTAGAGAGTTTAGACAATCTGAGAAAATTAAGCTCATCTTACTGTCCTGTGACTTCAAACTTAGCTAAGTGTCCCAGTATTGTAAACCACACTGATCCAGAATGGCAAGAAGTTAAAAAATGCAATAATTAGCAAACACTAATTGACAATAGTCTGGTTTGGCTTTTAGTATATACACAGTCATCAATTTACCACTATGAGCCCAAAAGGACAGAAAGAGTCCAGGAATTTGCTCCCAGTTCACTAACAAAGGTTCACGTCCACATATGGTTTCACTGTCTGTTCATCCATTTCACTATGACCTGATCTCCAAGTTCAGCACTCTCCAGTAAGTTTGGTGGCGTCCCCCCGTTTGGGTGGTGCAGGCGGGGGTCCTCGTCGTAGTGTTGCATAGCCTGAGATGTTTCCAGACATATAGCCACCATTTCCTCCATTGCTTTGATTTCCTTGGTCCAGGAGCAGCTCAGGAGGTGGTGGAGGTAGCGCCATGTCATCCATGGTCCCCGCGGGGTCCAACTTGTTGAGAGAACCCTGGCGACCCACTGACTTTCGCTTCAGTGTCTTGTTGAGATCCTCTAGGAAATTGGGCTGACCAGAGCTGCCCTTATGGGAGGTGGGTGGAGGTGATGAAAGTGGAGGGGGCTCTGGGGTGGTGTTACTATGCCTCCCAAGTGTCGGTGGAGGAGTCTTTTTCAGTGAGCTCTTTCCCCATGTTGAGTTGCTACCAAGGGAGATAGGTGGTGGAGGAGGGGGAGCCTGGGGCTGGGGGTTAACTACAGCTACCCTAGGAGGTCCTCCGCTATGGGTGTCACTACTGGGAAGTGGAGGAGGGGGGAAGAGCTCAGAGGCCGGAGGAGGAGGTGGGAAATAGGCGCATTCAGGTGGCGGGGAAGGGAAGTCGCCACTGGACTGCTTTGCTTGGCTCACTTTGGCCTGGAGTGCCAAGGGCAGGTTGGCTAGGTTGAGCTTCCCTGGTTTTGGGGGAGCAGGGGGTCCAGCTGATGGGTCCTTGGAAGGGGATCCATTAGAAGATGAGGTGGGGCACAGGGATGAGGGCAAGGTGTTGCTCTGGGGAGCAAACTTGCTGAGCAAGTTCTTCCTGGATTCCTCATAGGAGGCTGAGGTGTTAGACGTGACGCTAGAGTTCCTCTGTGGGGTGGGAGGGGGTTTCTTGCCTCCAAAACTGCAGGAACCAGGTGGTGATCTCTTCATAGGGGAGCCCAGGTTGTCAGGTGGAAGGGGAGGAGGTGGTGGTGTCGGGCCTGTGATAGGTGCTGGGGGAGGTGGTGGTGGTGGAGGAGGAGGGGGAGCGGCAGGAAAGCCAGTGTTGCTGTCTGGAGGAGGAGGGGGGAACTCTGGAGACTGTAGCTGCTGGCCTCCCCCAGGCTGCCATTTTGGTTTAGGCTTGACTGCAGGTGGAGAGCGGGGGGCTTTTGGGCTCTCTGTATGATTGGCTACTTGGGATGAAGCTCCTGGAAATTGACTTGCAAGTTGTTTCACCAAAGATGTGGTGGGTGGGGCTCCGGTGGAAATGGGTGGTGGCTTAGAAAGGCTGTGCTGCTTAGGCATAGTTGGAGGTGGATGGCTAGAAGTGTGGCCTGTCTGGAGGCTGAACTGCTTCTTGAGGGGAGCAGGTGGGGGAGGTGGTGGTGGTGGTGGTGGTGGGGCTGGGCCCCCTAGGGTAGCAGGAGGTGGGGCAGGAGGGAAAGGAGACACAGGTGACAAGGGTTTGGGGGCAGTTTGAGAGACAAAGTTTGGGGTCAAGTTTTTGAGTGGCACTTGTGGCAGCACAGGAGGAGGTGGAAACTGGCCTGGCACTGGGAACTGCTGGGGAGGAGGAGGTGGTGGTGGTGGGGGTGGAGGAGGAGGAGGTGGGGGTGGTGGAGCAGGGGCAGGGGGTGGAGAGGCCTCAAGGCCTTTGTCTGGAAACAGCATGTCCCGTGGCGGGCTAGGAAACCTTTCCTTCAGTGCCTGCTTCAACCCGTTGGGGTAAACAGGTTGGCTCATAGGAGCTGGTGCAGGTGGGGGTGGAGGGGGAGGAGGAGGGGGAGGAAATACTACTGCATTGGTCTGTGGAGCTGCTGGGGATGGAGGAATGAAGGCAGGCGCAGGAGCTG